ATTCTGAGAAAACTGAGAAGAATACTGCTCATACTTCTATTCATAGAAAAGTGAAGAAAAAAATGTAAAATGAGAAAAACTTTCACATCTTCAGAAAATAGAAGACTTATTCTCAAAGTCTCAAATCAGAACATTCTGCAAAGAAACAAGCTAAGCTTAAATCTCATTTTCAGAATCAGAAATGAAATTAATGAGCAGTTCTTTTCTCAGTTAATAACTGATATTGAAGTTTAAAAATCAGTTATAACTTCAATTGAGTCATTCTTCTTTGAAAACTTCATCATTCTGACTACAATGTCTGAATTCAGTGCAGAATTCCTTATTCAGAATGAGAATCTCTGAAAATCAGTAGTAGAATCTTTATTAAACATAATAATTCTATCTGAGAGAGATGAAAAGTGAGATAAATTCATTCTTCATAATATTTCAGTTGAAATTTTTGACTGTGAAGAAGAAATACTACTTCTTAAAAATAAATTAGAAGAATACAACTCTATTCAACTAAGAAAAGAGTCTGTATGACTAAATTCAATTGAGTTCAGATAAAGCAGAAGAAATGTCTCTATTCTAGTATATACAAAGACACTTGAACAGTCAAAGATCTCTGAAGTAAGAGTAACAGATTTGAAAATGAGAGTTTATAAATACAAAGACTTAAGAATGAATCTCAAAGCTTAAACACAGTGTTCAAACTATCAAAGATATAGACACTTTGCAATCTCTTGTTTTAAAGACTCAGAAGATGTATTCTGTGCCAGAGATTACAAAACTAGTGAGTATAAATATGAAACATGCTCAAAAAGAGATGAAATATATCAACATACTCTGCTTAAATGCTCTAATTGCAAAGAAAAACATGCATCTAGCTCAAAAGAATGTATATTTACTTCAAGAACTCAAAAGAACTGAAGAAAAGATAAAGCTCAAAGTAAATCTAGAACTGAAGAGAAGAGTTAAGTCAGTAAACTCATAACTGTACACTTAAAAAGAAGAAACTCTTAACTATCTAAATCTTCAAACTTCAATTCTTCAGCTAAATATAAACAGAATTTGAATTCTCAAACTTCTGTTAAGATTAGAGAATTGAGAAATAACTCTGATAATAAACTAGATATAATACAAGCAGTTGAGATTTCTACTTTTCAGAATAGTTATAATCTACTATCTGATGATAGTGATTAGATTCTACTCTACTCTCTTTTAGTATGAATATATAACAAAAACAATAAAAAAAGTTTAAAAACTCTTCAAAAATCACATTTATTCAAAATAATGTGAATAGAAACTCAAATTGTATTTATTCTTATCTTCAAATTACATTTCAATAAAAAGTTGATTTTATACTGCTTCAGAAGCTGAATTTTGATACTGAGTAAAAATATATTATTTCTCATTTAAGCTACTACTGCTTTCTATCTCAAAAGTCTGAGATAAAGTCAAGAGTAGTGATCTATGAAAGAAAGAGATCAAGATATTAATTTAATCTAAGATTTAATATCATGTCTGACTCTGATATTCTGATGAGTAATATTATAGATAAAGAGAATGAGTTTGATACTATACAGCTTATAAATATCTATAATGAAAAGTCATTGAAGAAAAATAACAATATCTGGATAATTAATAGAGAGTTTCTGAATATAACTTCATTAAGAAACTCTATAATTGTAGAAGATTTCAATACACATCATTTCTGATGAAATTCAGAATGCAAAAGAGCAGTAAGAGCTGATAATCTGATTGAATAAATCTTTGAGTATTCAATGAATTTAGTTAACAAGTCTGATCAACACACATTCTTTAGAAAAGATATAAAATAGAAATCTATTATAGATTTAATCTTCATGTCATAAAATCTAATGAAAAAAAGACTTGTAAACTGATTTATTAATTCAAATGAGACATCAGAATCAGATCATGAGATTATTCAATTTAATATTGAACTGAGTGAAGAATAAATGAGTGAAATTCCTCTTCTCTTTAATCAGTTTAACTTTGAAAAACCTGTTTGAAAGACAGTTGAAGAAAGTATAAAACTGTTAAAATCTGAAAGACAGAGTAAGCTATATTTAAATCCTGGTCAAGATATCTCAAATGAAATACTTGAGAATAGAGTAAAGCTCATTACATCTATCATTCTAACAAGTGTTAAAGATAATATTTTAAAGTGAAAGTCTTCTGAGTATTTAAAACTCTGATGAAATGAGAATATCATATCTAAAAGAAATCAATTAGCTACTGTAAAAAGAGATTGAAAGAATGATATAATTTCTAATACAGAGTTCAAAACTGTCAGAAATGAATATTTTTCAGATATTAAAGAAGCTAAAACAGACTGCTGAAATAAATTTCTTGAAGAAGTATAAGAAAAGAAACTTTTTAAAGCTTTTAACTATACTATAACAAGAAGTGTAGCAAAACTTCCAGTCTTAGAATATGAGTTTCAGAATGAATCATATACAGTAAACTCTTTTGAGAAAAAATATTAAGCTTTTATAAGAACTCTCTTTCAAAACTTATCAGATTCAGATTCAGAGAAAGAGAATATATCACTTCTCAACTATATTGATAAAAATGACTGAGAATGACCTGATCTTATATAAGATGAATTAGAGTCAGCTATCTTCTCAAGTTCAGTTAAAACTGCTGCAGAGCCTGATTCAATTAATCACTTGATTATTCAAAATACATACTTCTACTTAAAGAATAAGTATTTTGAGCTCTTTTTCAATCTCTTGAAAAATGAATATCTTTCTGAATACTGAAGAGAAGCCACTGAAGTGATTCTTATAAAGTTTAATAGAAAAACTTCAATTTCTAAGTTATATAGAGTAATATCTCTATTGAACTGTCTAGAAAAGGTTTTAGAAAAGATAATAGCTACTCAACTATCTTTTATAAGCTCTATTAGTAATTCTCTTTTAGTCAGTGAATAAATGAGAGATAGAAAACAATATTCTGTAATTAACACTGTTCTCTCAGTTATTCATGATATTTAAATAGCAAAGTATGAAGATCTGATCTCAACTGCAGTTTTCATTGATACAAAAGAAGTATTTGATTATATTTCAAAGTCAAGATTAATTCAGACTTTGAAGATGTTAAAACTGTCACTTTCTCTAATAAAATAAATTAACTGTTTTATATCTAAAAGAATCATACAACTTTTCTTTGATGAAATGAAATAAGACAAGACTGAGATAAAAATAGAAGTACTGTAACAATCTTCAATCTCACTTATTTTATTTTCAATATACACTGCATATCTATTCAAGAATAGAAATATAAGAATAGTGTAATCTCTGAGTTATATGAATAATATTGATCTAGTCTACAGCTTAAAACTATCAAAGAGAATTTGAAAGTGATTAAAAAAGCTGCAAAGGAAATCTTTGTTAGAGCAGATATCAATCAAATTCAGTTTAATATGAATAAAACTGAGTTAATTCATTTCCTTTCTAGATTCAATGAGAAAGAACTATCTCTAACTCTTTTAAATAGAGAGATTAAACCCAGTGTAAATGTCAAATGATTAGAAGTATGATTAAACTTCAAGTTGAATTTTAAATATCACATTCAACAAAGAACTGTCAAGGCAGAAAGACTATTAAACAACAGAATCAGACTATCAAATACAGAGAGAGGTCTATTCTTCCAGGCTATAAGACAGTTATATATAGCCTGTATTACCTCAGTAGCTGATTATAAAGTTCATTATTATTATTATTATTATTCTTCAATTATAGATGTATACAGTCAGAGACTATGATATCTACCTGAGAACTAAAAGTTCTCAGGGTTTTTCCTATATCTATAAAGTTAACTATTATACATTCACCAATTTCAGATATACAAAATCAGAAAATTTCAGCTCAGAATACAAAAACTGTTTATAAATTGCAGTATTTTAACATCTTCTTATACTTTGAAATCATTTGACAATATCATGATAAAAGAAAAGATGTAACGTGGCGAAACCGAAGCAGTGGCTAGTCAGCGGCGACACATAGAAGTAGTTGTTTGAGAAGCTGTATGAGTGAGCTTGACTATCTTGCTTGAATAGCAAGCTCATAGGCTACAGGGTTATTGTGAGAATATCACAGATATGGTACTTAGTATACTAAGAAGATTGTATGAGGCATGCAGTAACTCTTGTGTATATTTCAGTAGAAGCAAAAGAAACAAATCACTGACTTTTTTAATAAGAAGCCAGTATCTAGTTATTCTATATAGATAATAAGCAGATACTCTCCTCTCATTCTATGAGTAAGAATAGCTGAAGTGATACCTCAGCAGCATCTCATTGCCAAGAAAGAGTAATCTGCTGATCTTGTATAGAAGTGAGGTTCTTATATTTATCAATCAGATCTTTCTATGATATATCTGAATAATATCATAGAGTGATTGAAAACTGATTCAGATGAGATGAAATCATTCATATAAAAGTAATGAGCTGTGTGAAACCGCAATGAGGCCTTGACATAGCTGAAAGTGTGATAATACTCTTCTCTTTAAGAGCATAGTTTCTATACTCTCAAGATTACTGAATTAGAAATTATCTTTATTGTATAGCAATGATTGTCAACTGATTAACAGCACATGTACTGTGTGTGATATAAAAGAATAGATGAGTTTTTCTGCTGACTGTGTAGATCTTCTCTTTCTCATCTTCATTCAAATTAAACATGTGATAAGTGAGTTTCTTATATATTGATTTGAAATGTGAAAAAATATAGTTAACAAGTGACTTGCAGATCTCTTATCATATTTCATTCTATATATGAAATTCTCTACAAAAGTGATGTGTTTTAGAGACAAAGCTAACAGTAGTAGCAGGATTTTTTTAAAAAGATCTCTCTCTTCTCTGTGACACATTTTTCTCTTCTCCCCCCTCATCTGTAATAGTGAGTGCATGAGAGTATCATTCTTGAAGAATAATAGAGAGCTTATTCTGATGTTTTCTAGTGAGTAAATGTCTTTGTGGTGCAGCTGCGGCCTCCATGACTGTAAAGAAAGTCAGATTGAAGGCAGAGACAGTGTCAATGAGCTGTGAGAGTATCACTCTCATTGTCACATCTCCTTCTCCTCCTGCATCTCTTGCAGCTGCAGTGGTAGTAGCCGTGCTGTGCAGTGAGGTGTCGTCCCTTCTGCTGGCTGGTGCGTCTGTGTTCAGTCTGTCCCCTGCCCCTCTCATCACTGTTGCAACGCCGCCCCCCCTCCTCATCAATATGATGATGTATGACCCCGTGTGATCATTCAGAGAGGAACCTGAAGAGAGCTTGATTTCAGAGACAGTGACTCTGAGAAGCTCAATCTGTAGTTCTTCTTCCACACACCTGAGCCCTGCTCAGGATGCTGCTGAGTTGAGTCTGCAGAGTCTCATAATTTCTTCATCTTCTCTCTGTGAAGAGGCTCTGATGCAGTCTCTGACTGGTATCATCACTTGTCTGTGCTGCACTAAGCAGCTGAAGAAGAGAGAGATTTTATATATCTACTTCTTCTCTCACTTCTGTTATTTCTGTTATACTTGTAACAATGACTTCTGTCTCTCTGTAAGTATTATCTCACAGAAAGATGTCATATCAGCTCTGATAAGAAGCCTAGATACTCAAGCTGTATAGAGTGAGAGTCTCAGAGCTTTAAGTATTGACAGATTCTGTCAAGACTGAGAAGATCTCTCTTACTTATCTACAGAAGAAGGTGAAAGTGTGAGTCTCTGAGATGAAAAAACACCTCAGAATGACTGATCTTAAGAAGAGATTAGTCAGTACTGTTATTGAAAGTGCTGTAAAGATTAATTACTGATTGAAAAGAATCTTGATTCAATTGAAGTAGATAACTGAGATACTTTGTAAGTTGATAAGTTGATATTTCATATATTTCTTCTGCTCTTCTACAGCACTGCAGCACTAACTTCTTAACAGATAAAGATACTGATACTGAAGACTTCAACAGTGAAGAATGAGTTTGATGAGAGTGTGATTGTTAATGAGTAGACTCTGATCCCTCTTTTTACTTTTTCAGTGAGCTGTGACCTTATTAGAATAGCAGCAGCTCACAGATTGATAATATTAATCTTTTTATTAATTTCAAATATTTCTTTTCTTTTAACTGCTTCAGAAATGTTATACTTGTATAGTCTTATTAAACTTTTAAAAACTCTTTGAGAGAAAATAGAAGAAGAGTGCTACAGAGTCTATAAGATATCAGCTCATCACTGTGAGATTATCTCTAAAAAACTCTTTAAGAAAAATAAGAAGTCTTAAACAGTATTTCTTACTCAATGTCTCTGATGTGTAACAGAGCAGTCTGTACTAGCTGTCTCATAGCTTGTAATCTCTTTCTCAGCATTTTTCAAATGCTTAAGTGATTCTCATAAATTCTCTGATAATGAATAATCTTTCTATTTAATAAGATATTGAAGCTTGCTGTAATATGTTTATTTATTCAATATTTTCTTCATAAGATATTCAGTATCATTCTTGATCTTAATATTATTTAACTGAGATAGCTCTGCTCTGAAGCATTGCTTATAGAGCTTCAAATAGAAAATGTGAAAAACAGAGTGAATTGATTTCAATTCTGTGAATAATTTCAACTCATATATCTGCTTACTCATTACTCTTATTACTGAGAAAGGTTCTAGTTACTACTCATTGAGCTTCTTATATAATCTTATTATCTTGATGTTCTTTGCTGAAAGTAGTACTTAATCCTCTATTGAGAACTTCATTAGAAGATGTTTTTAATTATAGTATTTTATCTACTACTTCTGAGTGCAGTGAATACTTCTCACTGTCTTCTTATGAATTTTATTCAAAAGTTTCAATCTCACTTTTACTTCTGATACTGAGAGATACTTCATTCTCTGTATCTGTTCAACATTCTGACTGTCTATTTCTCTCTTTGAAACATTGTTCACAATGTCACTGAGTAATGAAGAATTATATTTATAATAAGTATAGAAAGAAGATATCTTTAAGATTGCATTCTTTACATTATTATATATGAATTCAGTGATCAGAAGATGTTTAAGTCAATCATTCTGATAATATAAATAGAATGCTTGAAGATGCTATTCTAGTGTCTGATTCTGATATTCAGTCTGGTCATCAGTCTGCAGATGAAATGCAGTACTGAGGAGATATCTTATTATAAGATGATAACAAAAAGCTGATCAGTATTTGCTGATGAAGAGAGATTCTTGATCTGTTATCAATGATTTTGAAGCTCTGTGATCATGAATAATAATATCTAAAAACAGATCAGTTAATTCAGAGGCTTTAATCTTTTTATAAGTAGAAATATATCTGATCATCTTTGTGAAGTGATCAATAATAATCAAAATCAAGTCATATTCTTTGACTCTTGTTGACTTTAACAGGTCAACTATGAAATTCATTGATAGATTCTGTCATAAGTTCTTTGAAACAGGCAGTGATATCAACTTACTGTATTACTTATGCTACAGAATCTTTATTCTTTAATAGATATTACAAGTTTCAATATACTCTTTGACATCTGTTCAGAGCTTGTCTTAAATGTATTTACATTTTAGAAGCTTCTCTGTCTTCTCTAATCTGAAGTGTTCTGTATAAAAATCATTATAATGAATTCTCAATAACTTCTGACACACTGCTCTACTATGAGAAATGAAGACTGAATTATTCAGCAGTAGAAGTTCATATTCTTCTAGTTATCAATGACTTGATTTCTTAGCAGTATCACCTCACTCAGAGTCTGTCTCTTTCAAGTTTAAACTGAATTCTTTCTTCTTTAACTTTTGAATTCAAGCTGCAGTAGAGATGTCTCTCTTCTGTAACTTATTAATGAATTTCAAAAGTAGTCAGATTAAAAGATTATAGACTGTTTTATTCTTTATCAATTCAATGATTGTAAGATATGATATGAGAAGCTCATGATCTTTAGTATCAGTTCTCTGCAGAGATCTGAGTTCTCTTTCATCTTCTATACTGAGTCACACAGCTGCCTCTTCAGTGCTGTTCCTGAGCTTTAGAGAATCTTAACTCTCTGCAGTCAGCTTCTTCTGCAGTGATGACAGAGATTCTTTTGTAGAATTCTTCTCTGCATCAATGATATTATAATCAGGCTGCTTAGACAGTGTGTTAGCAGAATTAAGCCAATCTGAATAATATCAGATATAGAAATCATACTCTGAAAGTAGCTTCATTCATCTGACTTGATATTCTGTCAAGCTCTTTGTTGTCAAGAAGTAATGCAGATTTGCATGATCAGTGAGAACTTACACTGAGTACTTACTACTCTGAAGATAATATTACTAGATCTTAAAGAATTTGACAATTGCTAACATCTTCTGATCATGAATATCATATCTTCTCTGTGTAAGTGATAACTTCTTGAAGAAGAAGATCACAGATCTTTATTCACAGCATTTTATAGACTCTGTAAAAAAGTCTTCTTTCATAGACAATTCATTGCCTGTTTCTTCAGAGATGATTATTCTCTGATTCTTTTAATGTTGAAAGATCTTCAGTATCAACTGTGAAAAGATTTTACAGATCTCATTTCTGAATACATCAGTCTTACACTGACTGAGTAAGTTGAGATTAAAGTGATTCAGTATCATGATATCTGTGAAAGCTTGTTTCAATTCTGCAAACATCTGCACAGTGTCTTGAGTGAGAATAAATAATTCTGTTTTTCTGTCTTTCATACTTCTCTTTAACAGATCTGTAAGAGGGGCAGTAATCTGTGAATATATATAGATGAATTGTCTGTAGAAATTCACAACTTCTAGAAATACCTGCATCTTATGATACATCTGCAGTGCTGGTCAGTTCTCAATGATGAAGACTCAGCTTCTATTCATTGAAATGTCATTCATCTCAACAATATAATCTAAGAAATCAATCTTCTGTATATAGAATAAGCATTTTTCAGTGTTTGCATAGAGTTAATACTGTCTTAAGTGACTTAACACTTCTTAAACATGAATATCATGTTCTTTCTCTGATTTTAAGAAGATTAAAATGTTATTCAGATATACTATGCAGAAGATGTTAACAAGGCTTCACAGCATCTCATTTATATAGATCTGAAAGATGGCTGAAGTGTTATAAAGATCAAAAGATAAAACAAGATATTCAAAATTACTGTACTTGATATGAAAAGCTGTTTTTTAAATATTGTCTTTATTAACTCTGATTCTATAATAGATATTCTGTATATCAATCTTTAAGAATATCTTTACTTCAGATAATTGATCAATTATCTTTTCAATTAATAGTAATGAATAGCAATTCTTAATCATCATCTTATTAAGATCTCTGTAGTCTATGTATAGATATAGTCTATTATTCTTCTTAGGCACAAAGAGTATAGATGCCTCTGCTGAACTCTTTGATGAATATATTCAGTTCTTTGATTGTGCTTCTTCAAGATATTTGCACAGAATATTCAATTTCTTTACAGATAAGTTATAAAGAGGTCTGTACAGCATTATTGCATCATCTTCAAGGTGAATCTTATATTGTATCTTGATATCAGAAAACTTCACTACTTCTCTTTCTGAAAAGACATTCTTAAAATCTGTAAAGAGATGTTGTGTATATCTGTCTTCAATGATGAATACTGCTACTAATCTTACAGTAAGAGTGATGATTTCTTTATCTGTTCTTAAGTCTCAATCACCTGCTACACAGTATATTAACTCAATCTTTTTCTCAAGATTCTTCTGATGAAACTCTTCAGATTTCTCTATCACTGTCTCTTTATCAGTGAGACAGTACTGTCACATCTGAGTGACTCAGTTAATGAGAGAATTGTTTTCTCTCAATCACAGAAGATCTAGAATGACATTCTCATCTATAATATTAACTGTGTGAAGAAGCAGACTGCTCTTCTTAAAGATTTCTTCTGAGTCTGTGATCACATACTTCACTTGAATTATGTTAAAACAGTGACATTTCATTTCATCAGTAAATTTTATATAATCTGATGAGTCTATCTTCTTTCAACTCTTTATCAAAGAAAAGAAATAGAATATGAAGTTAGTATTCACTCTGAAGTCAAGTAGATATCTCACTGATATCTTCTTATTCAGAGTATACATTGTGATCATAATATAAACTCAGAGATGTGAGAATTGTCAATTCTTTTCTTTCTCTTCTTTATCTTCCACAGATATATTTATCAGAAGAGAAGTTAACTTTGAGAAGATGTCTTCTTAATTTCTTCTCTTCTTCAGCTTCTTGTAATCACTGATATAGTGATCATCAGCTCTGCAGTTGAAACAGAGATCTTTATCAAATCTTTTTTAGTATTTCTTTACAGTGAATGAAGAATCAGAATACTTGAAATTCTTCTTTACTTTCTCTGCACTGAAGCTGTCACAGTGCTGTTTAAATCTCATTATTGATTACTTAGAAAAAGTCTTATTAACCTTTTTCTCAGAGAATTGATTATTCAAATAGATCTGAGAAGTCAGGTTGACAAGCTCAGTGTAATTGATTAATAAACTCTGATACTGTGATATTATTATCTGCATCTTGTGAGTCAGCTTCACAAGATAAAGCTGTGTTTTTAATTGATTTAAATCATCAGTCAGTTCCTCTCAATATTCTTCAAATCTTATATTAAAATCAGAAGAATTCTCATTATCTCATTAATATAATAAGTTGAATCACTGTATTACTGTGAAGTCATGATTACAGTGATCTTCAATTTGATTCAGTAGAAAGTCCTTGAATTCTTCTCAAGTCATGATAGTATTGATACACTCAAGCTCTCTCTTCTTGATGATTCAAGTAGTCACAGAGATGTCTTCAAGAAGATTGACAGTGTATATTACTTATATCTCATGAGTATTATACTGGCTCAGATTAAGGTGGAATTTTCATTCAAGAGTATGAATAAAGCTGTGAAATTCAGATAAGATGTTTCTCTTATATCTCAGTGAATCTCTGACCTTAATCTCTCTATCTTCATGATAGATGTAGGTGTGTAGAGGCTGTGG